CGGAAACAAAAAACAGCTGGTAGAAAGAGGAGAAAAAGCCGCGTCAAATGACACCCGAGCTGCTTGCCGATTGTTGTTCTGTGAGATTTAAGTTGACCAAATATGGAATTTGATGGCATTGAAAAATTGGTTCCAGAAAGTAAAAGAAGCAAGCTAAGGAAAAGAAAAAAGTTAATTGTGTTCTACAGGGTTTGCTCTATCTATCTGCCACTTGCACTTCTTCGGAGAATAGGTACAAAAATTTAGAAAAATAGCCGAGTTTGACCATGGCAAAAAGCATGAGTAGCAGGTTTTGATAATTTCTCGAGGGCTCATTGAAGATTATGCAATGAAATTACAACCATTAGAAAGAGAATGAAATGCTGTATCGAATGCTCCTAAGATCTCTCGAAAATCTTAATCCCATGAATTGTGGCGTTTATTTGAAAAAAGCGACATTACTTTCGGAACGACCTAATACCAAGATACATTCCTCTCATTACATTAACATCGGAAGTTTAAAGAATTTATAGAAATTGTTCAGAATACTCAGAGTTTAGAAGGAGGTCATTGGAACTTAGTTTAACATCAAAAAAGAATGGTTGGGATGGCAGTAATCTTTCTAAGACCATGTACCATTGTTTATATAACAGACCTTTCATTTTACGTAAATATGGGTTAAGTACCGGAGTGCATATGCCCCTGCTGCATATGCACTGGTGGTGCGGAATATCTGGGCCGCGGCCAATTAAGAATATACGGCGGGAAATGAAACATTTAAACATTAAGTCATCATAAAGTGCGCTCCACCAAGATCATCGTACCTCTTTCTTCTTTGCCTATACTTAATGTCCCAACATTTCATGAAATTGTTCTATTTTCTTTCTTTTGGCTACTTTTTTGCTATATTCCTTGGGAACTACTGATGAAAGGGTTTAAAACGCGGGGGCGCCAAGGAAGGACGCGATTCTGGTCTAGTTCTTAGCCCCGAAACCAGTATGCGTAAAACATTCTCATCATTTGTGTTTTCTTGTTTGATGTTATTAAACCCTATTCTATGGCTCTTGATAGTGCATGCACATGACCTCATCTCCATCCCTCCACTGACTTGCACCGTTTGCAGGCTTGTAGCTTAGCCAGCAGTCATTCTACGAGCCTGCATGTAGGCTCATTTGAAAGAGCGTGACTTCCTTGACACGATGGTATGCGGAGTTGGGTTTGGCAAGTCCCGGAGATTTTAGAGATGGGTGGTGGGGAGGGGGGGGGGGAGAAGGAAGCGCAGCTTTAGTTGTAGGCAGGGTCAAGCGTGTTGATGCGATCCGGGACCCTCATTTACGACCCCCCCCCCCCCTGAAGGTACCCATCCGTACGACCCCCCCCCTTCTCCCCTCCCCCACCCTCTCCCCTTTATCCCCCTTACCTCCTCTGCCCACTTCCTCGCGGTAACTTGCATAAACGAATGTCAATCTCAAAAAACAACCGCGTGAGAACTTCAGTGAGGTTTCGGAAGCAGAATTTCTAGGCCAATGCCTGCATCCAGAATTTGTAGCACACATACACACCTTCAATAATGTTTGAGAATCTGCAGGTTTTTTTTTGAATTTTCAGGCATACTTGGACCAGCGAATTCGATACCCGTAGGCGACACAAATTTTTGCACGGAGAAAAAAATGACATTCTTGAACGACAAAAGATGTTTTCGATTAAGAAGCTTACTTCCTACCTCATCCACAGTTTTTTCCGCGAAAAAAACCGCTTGAGCGCCGTCCAGAACGACGTCAAAAACGTGCATGAGCGCGGTAGTTTGAAAAATCGTAACTAAGGCCAGGAAAAGAACGAGAGGCTGCAAAGCACAGGTTCTGTAGTATGGTGCCCAGACTATCCATAGAAAAAGTTTCAGCATTTGAGGAGCAGTGAGCTCGAAAAAATTTAGGTGCGACTCTCGCAAATTTAGATGCGATCTAAAAAGCAAAAACTAGGATTTTTGAGCTTAAAAGTTTGTAACTTACCAGAGAAGTTATAAAACAGCCTGCAATTTTTATGAGGGAAAGTAGGAGGATGGCCTCATATTGCAGCAAAATTGCAGCCAACAAACTTCGATAACCCCGAAAAAATTTAGATGCGACCCAGATACGACCTCCCTTTTCTCATTTTTTGCTGCCATACATAAAATCATAAGAAAATCCAAAGTTGACAAAATAACACCAGATTTTGCACTGATATAGCAGAGCATCTCCGAAGTACAGGTAAATCATATGGGCCCTGAAAAACATTACAAAAAGTTTTAGAAATTCATGATGGTCACAGCTGGTAAAGATATTCGCTTTTGTCGAGTGTGTGAGACTTGAGGAAAGCTTCAGAAGCAAGATTTCTAGGGCAATCGGTACATTTAGCATTTTTGTCAAACCATGCATCCTTCAAAAGTGTTTTGAGCTCCTATAAATGTTTTTTTGTTTTTTTTCTTACTATTGCAATTACAAAATAATAAAAAAAAGTAAAGAAAATAAGCAATATCTAGCGAAAAAAATCCGCTTCAGCGCCGTCCAGAACGACGTCAAAACGGTGCATGAGCACGGTAGTTTGAAAATTCTTAACTAATGCCAGGAAAGAATGAGAGGCTGCAAAAAAAAGGTTCTGTAGCATAGTGCCCAGACTATTCACAGAGAAAGTTTCAGCCCTTGAGGAGCAGTGAGCTCGAAAAAATTTAGATGCGACTCTCGCAAATTTAGATGCGATCCTAAAAAGCAAAAACTGGGATTTTTGAGCATAAAATTTTGTAACTTACCAGAGAAGTTATGAAACAGCCTGCAATTTTTATAAAGGAAAGTAGGAGGATGGCCGCATATTACAGCAGAATTACAGCCAACAAGCTTCAATAGCTCCGAAGAAATCTAGATGCGACCCAGATACGACTCCCCTTTCGTGGTTTTTTGCTACCATACATAAAATTATAAGAAAATCCACAGTTGACAAAATAACACCAAATTTTGCACTGATGTAGCGGAGCATCTCCAAAGTACAGATAAATCATATGGGCCCTGAAAAACATTACAAAAAGGTTTAGAAATTTATGATGGTCACAGCTGGTAAAGATACTCGCTTTTGTCGAGTGTGTGAGACTTCAGGAGGGCTTCAGAAGTAATATTATTAGAGCAATCGGTACATTTAGCTTTTTATCAAATCATACATCCTCCAAAAGTGTTTTGAGCTTTTGTAAATGTTTTTTCTTGAGAATTTCTACAGATTTTTTATCTTTTTCATTCTGATCTCCAATTTTTTATAGATTTATTGTAAAGAACATGACTGATTATCTGCTTTTTGATTCCCCTTTAGGCTTAGGGTATTTTAGCCTACTACCTTCTCTTATGACCCCCCCCCCCCACCTTGATACCCTCTTTACGACCCCCTCGTTGCGACAGTCGCATCACAAGCTTGACCCTGGTTGTAGGCTAAGGATTTTTCAGCTAAGGTTGAAGAGAGCTACTTCGCTACTAGTTCCATCCTAGAAGTTTCAAACTGTCAGTTTCTTGTAATATATAGATCCATTTCAAACCTTCAAAACTGTTCTAATGTTGATACTTTCACTTTAATCACCTTTGAGGGTGCGCTTTTTCACCCCATCTTAAATTCTCCAGGACTTGCCAAACCCAACTCATTTCGCATATCTTCGTGTCGAGGAAATCACGCTCTTTCATATGAGCCTACTTGCAGGCTCTTAGAATGACTGCAGGCCGAGCTACAAGCCTGCAAACGGTGCATCAGTGGTGAGGTGCAGGTGGGGTTCATGGTGAAAATTATTTTTTGCTAAAAAAGGAGTTTAGAATAATTTTACCCCAAAGTTGTTTTTGAAAATGTTAGGCACAAACCATTTTCTTATACCAGTGAGCCAAGGACGTTTTAAGCAATTATATTGGCTCAAGTCCTTACACCTGCAAGTCATCCTACTTCCTGATCGTTGATTATTTGCAGTTTTCTAGTACTTTGCGTTTCCATTTCGTTTTTTGTTTGTTATTGTTTTTTTCTACTTGTTCCTCTATTGTTCATTCTTCTCCTCTGGTTCGTTGGTCTCTTGCCTTTTAGGGTATTCCTTGTTCCTTTTATTAACACATGTATGAGCATGTTTCAATAAATAAATAAATAAAATAAAAAAGCAAAATAAAACTCAAGTTTGGGTTTTTTTGGAAGTAACCACAAACTGATTATTGTCCTCGATGAGCTCTTTAATATAGAGCGATAGCAGTCCCCATTGCTATTCACCTGGCAATCTCATCATATATAGCCGTATAATTTACTCGCATTTGAATGCATCTTTTTTCGTTGTTGTGGGTACACTATCCCCTACTTTCTTTTGCTTAACTCATCGATGACGAGCTTTCTTTGTTGTTCTTTGAATGTATAGGACGACTGGCTCCACGTTAACAGTTTTTTATAGTTTAAATGGTACACCCTGAGTGTAAAAATAAAGATAAAGATAATATAGTATGCTTATCTGTCAGAAAACTTCTTTTTGCTTCAAACAGAGACCTGAAGGAAAATCTTCGCGTTCTAAGAGTTATTTAGTTAGTTAGTTTAGAGTCCGCGACATTCTGACGCTGCCATTTTCAGACTTTTTTTCCGAAAGAAGTTTTTGAAATTTTTAGAATACAAATTTTCCAGAAAGCGCAATGTGTATGTTGTAGCTCTTGAAAGCTCTATCATCTCAGACAATTCGTTCATTTTGCCATCTTGCGATGAGAGAAAGAAAGCGGCTTGTCCGCAACTTTTTGGCGGTCGCTGCATAGTCCTCTACCCTATATTATAGAACAGCATGCTAACAACTCTCCAAACAATTACCGAATCTTGTGTCTCCTTTCCTATTTCCCGAGAGAAGTTACTACACCGAAACCTGTATCTTTTGGATGTGGATCCTTTCATTAAGATAGTATCCAGTCTCTCAATGCGTATTCTTACCGTTTGATACGAGTGGAATTAATTAATTGGAATTGATTTTAAACTTTCCAACTCCGAAACTGCTACTCCAGATTCTTCATGCAGTTCACACTCTAACAGCACAGAAGAGATTGATGACGTCAGCACAAGTTCTATCACTGGGGACACGTATACAGTAGCCAACGACAGCGATGAATATGTCTGCGTTAATACAAACGACGACACTTCGTCTCTTCGCACGTTACAAACTAACAAAGGTAACAGTAACATCTTTTGAGTAATAGTCTCTCATCTTCAAAATCAGTGCAGTTCTAACAAAGGCAGTGTCCAGGCAGTCAAATGGGAATTGACTCGAGGATGTATAACATGGTCCAAGCTGTAGCGCAAGTGTAAAATTCACTGCAGAGGATTACATCTTTGAATTTGTACCCAAAACCGTAACATGCTGATCTGCATTGTCTTGCATGCTTTCGCCTTACAAGGGAATGGTCAGATCGAAGTGACCAATCCAACCAAGCTGTCTACCACTCGATGCAGCATTCAACGCTGATTCCGAACCCATACTCCATATCTGCTAACACCTTTGTGGACGAAGTTATGAGCAATTATATTGCGGAAAAATCGTACATAAAAAGTGCGAAATTGAGTACATAGTTACACTTTCAGCTCGCCTTTGAGCTTGAAAATATAAGGTAACCTAGTTGCGTGTTTTAGCCCAGCGTTTAGCCGAAGCTCTTGGATTGATCCTCCATTTGGAAAAATATATGGATGCAACGCGAAATTTGGCCTCAGAGTGGCAATTCTTTTTACAAATCACGAGCGCGTACTGTATAATATGGTTCATCGATCCTTTTATAGTTTCAGTTTTGCTCGTTCATATCCTGAAATCAATAAATCAACTTGGTTGTTTATAATTTTCGGTTGAATATATTAGGTTGATTCATAATTAATGCACGTTTTTGTCACGTCTTTTTCTAAGCGCTGGTTTTTTAAGGGAACTGAATCTTTCCCAAAAATTTTAACGCCATCTGAAAGAGCATTTCTTCTAGTTTCTTGTATCCTTTCTTTTTCGTGACACTCCGTATGATACCGAATTCCACGCTTCGGAATATGAAAGACTAAAACTTGAAATTTTTTCCTTTCATTCTTTTTGCTCTAATTCCATGAGAACAAAAGATGTCAATTTCAAAAAATATGCCTAACATTCGCGAAGCTTTCTGCTACAGAAATCTCTATAAAGCAGAATTTTGCAAAAGTTCTGAGATGAGAGATTCTTCGAAGTCGTATAAAACTTTGTAACAAGAACCAATGACTGCGATTTTGCTTTGTACACAAAGAAAAGACATAGCACATTTACTGGCAGAAAAACGGTGAAATTTTACAGCTTTTCAATAGCAAAAATTTTGAAAATTCTCAAAAAAGACAGTTTTTCGCTCTTCTGGAAAAGCTAGAAAAAATGATATCTTTTGAACTTTTTCAGTATCTCGTTATAGAAAAATAACGTAAAATCCGAGTTTTTTGCCACTGCTCTCTTGACCATTGGCTGCGCAAAGAGCAAAGTTTGCGCTTTCCTCCTACCTTTAAGAGTAAGTTATGCTTTCACAAAATAGAGGTTTTAAAAAAAATTCTTGGCATTTTTCGGATTGTACAAACTTTCTCGCTATCTTTATCTATGAACAAATGTATGTGTTGAAAGCTAAAGAGTTGCTCTTTGCAGCAGTTTTTGTTGCTCTTTGAAAGATGATGTGGTAAAAGAAATACGGCGCTTTGAAGATGAATTTCGAAAAACGTGCATTAATTTTGAATCAGCCTAATATTATCCGCGATTTCGTGCTCACTCGTTCTTCCCCTCCATAACCCCCCCCCCTCTACTAAGCTTCTGCCAAACTACAACCCTAGATTGAAGAAAGTAAAAAATCTTACAATTTCATCAGAACGATTATTTCACCTTACAGTAGGACTTGTTCGCTATCCCGCCCTAAATGTCCGTATGCAAATAGTTCAAATCAGTCTTTAAACAAGCCATTATATTTGGAACGCGCTAACGCATTACGTAGAGTCAGTCCGAGACATCGAGTCTTATATAAGGTAACATCATAGTTTCCCATACAGTATAATCACGAAACCATCAATGCAACTCTGGTATTTATTATGAGTGAATTGCAGTTGAAATGTCGTGTTCTGGGATTGCTTGTTTCGAAGAAGTGGAAAATTGCAAGGGTTTGCTAGAAAAATTGAATATGAATGACTTGGCAACGACGACTCGAGGATTATCCGATTTGGATGGCGCGGGATTTGAAGGGTCAGTACAGTTTTTCCATTCTTGCCTGTCTCGAATATCGCGAGTGGATTTCAAAGGTGTACTGAACGTTTTACACAGCCGCCGTCAAATGTTTCACATAGCAATAGCCTCAAAAATCAGGAGCAGTCGCAATTTTGTTCTCGTATTTTAGGGTAGTGCTCTGTTTCGAGTTGCCAGGAGCGCTGTACGAACTTCTTGAGAAGAAAACTTCTCACTATTTGATTCTAAAAAAGCTCAAAATTTGGAATAGTGGAACAAGGTTCTAATACTGTATGGAGAAATTTCGGGTTGCTTTTCAAAACTTCTGCAGTCTACTACAAAATTTTGATCGAAAGGGGTGTGACGGTAGCCACGCGCTCGAACAAGTTTTTTTTACAAAGTTTGTGTGATTTCCAGGGATTTTTGGATATTATTCCATTTCCTTACGAGTAAAACGAAACACTTGCAAGATTATGTGATTCCTGTTGACAACTTTGATAAAATTTTGAGACCCATTCTCGGGGGGGGGGGGGCAGTCAACATGAACGATAGGTTGTGGCAGCCATATGCCATAATGGGAATTCTCGGAGCATCGGGTGCGGGGCTTCAATCGTCTCGTCCCACTTTTGAAGCGATTGCAAGTGATTTCTGGCAACTGCGATGAATCGTTTACCTCTCAATCTTATATATAAAGCTGAATATCTGTTTGTCTGTCTGTCTGTCTGTCTGTCTGTATGTCTGTCTGTACGTATGTTCCGAATAGAAAATTCCATTTCTGAACCGATCCGGACCAAACTTGGCACACATACACTTTGGGCCCCGGCGGGTGTCATAGGCTACTTTTCGTCATCGATCGATATCGATTTCATCGATTTTTTGCAAAATTTGAGCTACAGGGCTGGGAGTTGGCACAGGGGGGTAATCGAGCATGATGATCACCCCCGTGGGGGTGATCAGCATGCTCGATTACACCCCTCTGCCAAATTCCAGCCCCGTAGCTCAGATTTTGCAAAAAAATCGATAAAGTCGACATCGATCGATAACGAAAAGTGGACTGTGACACCCGCCGGGGCCCGAAGTGTATGTGTGCCAAGTTTGGTCCGGATCGATTAAGAAATGGAATTTTCTATTCGGAACATACGGCGGAGCCGGGTAAGCCAGCTAGTCATTTCATATAACAGTCTTTCCTGAACACGAAAATTTGCAAATTGGAGCTTAACCTTGATACCATTTGTTATCGCTTGCTGTTTGAAGGCTTATGCTGCAAACTCGACCGAAACAATGACGAGATGGATGTTATCTCATTTGGAGGCTCTGGCCCTTCAATGTCATATATAAATTTTTTTGGTGTAAGACCTGTGCAAAATTAGGTAATTTAATACATTCACGACTTGCCGCTTTTTCGAATACTGCCGTTGCGGACCAAAGCCTTTTCGCTTTGTCAAACTTACGACCCACCCGTGGATTGTATTGTCCGAAATGGATGTTTTGGAAGAAGTTGAAAACATGTCTCCAGGAATTTCCTTAGAGGGGTTATTGAAGGCGTTGCTTATGAAAATGTACTTTATTTTAGTTTTTGGCATTATACGGTAAGTTTACGATAGTCATACTGTACGGATCCAAATTTATTTTAGTGAAAATTTGTGTTTTAGGGTTAGTTCACGTGCTGTTCACGACTTTTGTATACATTTTGTTCACTACTGTTTACAGTGGGGCTATGGTAGCAGTACGGTGGAATCTTCGTAAAAATCAAAAAATGGATGTAAGAAGGCGGTATCAAAACTTGAGACTAACGTTCTCGTAATCGGCATGCTGCAAAACCTATGTGTATAAGATTTCAGCTTTCCCGGATGAACTGTGCAAAAAATCAATATAATCAACAAAATCGATATTTTCAAAGGGCTAAAATCAATCTCTTTCCCGTCCCGTAATTCTCGTGCATGTACACTTGGATGTGCTGCCTTACTTGCACCAGTAATTATGAAACATTAATCGAGGAACACCGGTAGCAGTACAGAGCAAATCATGGAAAGCGCTTTTAATCGAATGAAGTCTTGTTGATAAAATCATAGACCTCTGGTTATCCTTCAACTTCCCATTTCCATTCGCAGCTCTTATTAATAGTTCCTCCAGCGCTTTGTCATACCTTTCCAAATGGTCGCCATCGAATCACCTTTCTGCCTCAGAATTATTCATCGACTCATTTTGAAATGTGTAAATGTTCGGAATGTATATTAATATATGAACAAGTAAATAAACATGAATAAATATCTATTTAGGAGGAGATCCGAGTCAGCGGTTTCCAACTCACGCGTTATTGAGATCACAGAAAGCGATTTCAGTGATTGCGAAACTTCTACAGAGAGCAGTAAGTTGTTTGAGCTATTATTTAAAGATATATCGTCCTACTTTGTTCTGCATACCAACGTGCGCGCAAAATAATGTTTTTGGATGGTGTAAGTCATCACTATCAGTTATAGCTAAACTCAATTCGATCTGCTTTACTTGATCTGAATTGACACTGAATTCAAAAGGATGCGTTGTCAAGCCACATGTGACTTTATGCAAGAGGTGGGGATGGACATACTTTATTTTTTTGTGACCGCTTGTGCATTTCTTTTGGGATTCATTCTAAAAATTCACCGACCCGAAAAGCCCCATCCGAAATCCTGCTGTCCCAAATGACCAATGAAAAAGTATTCATGCCGTTCATGCCCGAAACTAATTGAGAGTGTTCGCTCTTCGATGAGAATCTGCCTGTAAAATGAAGGCTTTGTAATCTTTTCATCAAGCGTTTATCCAGTGTATGGCAATCGAATCCACGAGGTAATTGGTCGCTTTGATGAACTTTACTCTTATGAATCGACCAGATGGAACTAAAAATCACTTTTCTAACGACGGAAATGCATCTCTTTTAGTATACTCTGGGGACTCCAGTATCCGATTTTTTTTGTCTATGTCATCTTAGGCAGGAACATTCTGTGGTGATTACGATATCCTGACCATTTTTTGCATGTGAGAGTGCTGCGTTCGCTTCCCGCGCTACTTCTCTTGAGTTTGCATAAAAAGTCGAACCGGTCGTTTTGCCCTCGCATAATGAATCCTTAGCTAAAGTGATTATAGATTGATTAGGTTAAACCGGAAGACGATTGCACCATTTTTAAAAAGTTGTAACCCCATCTTCTCACAATATTTTTGCTTCGTTTCAGTTTTATTAGAAAGAGTAGATTATGCACATTCTAGTCACATGTTGCTTAATTTCTGGCAAGTCCTGATTGCAGAGATAAAAGAGGAAATAGAAGATTTTTTTAGGTTCGGTGATTTTAAACAAGCCTATCAGAAATCCAAAAGATCTGCTCTTCCTAACGAAGTTAAGGCGAAGCAATAACATTGTGACAAGAAGAAGCTACTATTTTTTGAAAACGCTGCGAACGAACTTTCAGCTCACCCTAATATATTAATGGTAGCCTGTGTATATTCCACCACTTGTCAGGTTTGTAACAATATGAGGTGTATGAAGTACAAGTGGTGGAAACCGGAAGAGCTTATTTTTTTTCTGACCTGGGTCTTATTTGGAATGAAGCCCGGGAAGAGTTTGTAGGAATAGTTTGCAGCAAAACTGAAGAGGCAAGAGTGCGCTGCAGTCAGAGAGACCCATGATTTCAGGGTGATGTCTTTCAAGGAAAACCTCCAAAAATGTGGAAAACCACAGTATGTAGTCATGTACGAGCTTGATATTTGGACGCTTTGACGCAGATGTCAAAGTTATCTGCTGTTCTACTTGCTATTATGTGTAATCCTATGTGCGACAGCTGCCGCCTTCTGCTGCAAACTCTTCTTTTTTCCTATCATTACTCGCAATTATGGTTATTGAAAGGAAACAGTTTATTTCTTAGTTATCATCACATTGATGCTCCAGCATAAGCAAACTCTCAAATTTCGTTACAGTTTTGTTTTGTTCAAATCTAGACATTCATTGCTATGCTTATGAATCTTTGCGGCTTTTTAACGGGAAATTAGCGCGCATTTTCGAGACGTGTTCTTGCATGCCACTCATGGGCGAGTGAGCTGCAGAGACTATGTTGTCTTGTAAGAACGCTGTCGAAGCACGACGTTACGTATTTGCAATACAATTGTTTGTTCAGACGTGCATAATCTCATTAGGCTCTATACTACGTCTTATATTTGCACGTGTCCGATTGAGGTTTGCCCTTGTCCTTGAAATATCATCACGTTGCCGTTTAGGCACTCTAAGTGTCTTTATCACTCTTTTTGTTCTCTTTCTGGCAAACTTACCGGAACCTGGACTTCTTTACCAGCTTTCAACTACCCCGTGTTTTGAATGACTTGTGTCTGAAAGATCTGCTCAAGTCTACAGTCTTGACCGCACTTGATCTGTGCGTTATCACCCTTCAATTTCAGTAACTTGGGCGATATAAAACATGTTCTCTGATATATTAAACGTATATCAGCACGCATCTATCGCTCAGCTGTTTGCAAAGAACTGGTGTTTTTTTCAACCTTGTGCCACTTTTGGTGGTGTATGTGTTTCCAACGGTATTTTCTTAGCTGGATGAGTGAAATCTGTACAGATATTTGGCTCTGATGTTGCTCTTTTCACAATCACGATGATTGCTACCAGCCAAAAGTCGGATATACGATTCCTCATAGTCTCGCGAGCTGCTTTATCAGAATGAGACAGAGTGAAACAGCTGAACTGTTCTTGTTAATGTGTTTTGAGTGCTGTATTTGAATTCGAACGTATCAAGGACTATAGTATTGAGCCTCGGATCAAAAAAAACTTGCAATGTAATTTCTGAGCCAATATCCCGAGAGAATGAATTTGATCGAATGGCAGCCTTTGATTCTTGTACAGCATCTGCATTCCGCTGTGATGATCTTGCAATAAAACCGGGTCACTGCCGCCTGTCGCCAATACATCACCGGTTGGTCATCGCAGGAGTCACAGTGAAGCACATCACTGCTGTTCTGAACATTGATTCTGTCCTGTAAACATGTAATCCCTCAGCTGATATCGCACTGAAGTTTCCTTTATCAACAAATAGCTCTGACTTTTTAAAAAAGCCCAGATCATTAGGACAACCTCACAAGCCTGCTCGGAAATTTATGATCAGTATTTCACTCTGCCGTCCATTTATCTTTGATCGCTAAGCTGATTTTCCCTACTGGCACCTAAAGAAAAACAAATGCAGCTTTCGCATTGTCGGGTAAATGTCTATTTGAGCTAGCGAATTCCTGAAGACTTACTCTTAACAAAGTTTATAGCAATCCTTTCTTGGCAGGTTTGCCGTTATGCTCTGGGTGCTTTTCTTTCTTATAATTTGTGTGCTATCAAGCTGATAGCTGCTGTGTTCCGCAAACACTTTTTGCACATGTGTACATTTCCAAACAGCTGTAAGCTCAAGCGCAGTGAAAGCAAGTCTTTAGTGCTAGTTTAACATCTTTTCATTTGTCTCCTCGACTTTTTACGAACGCTTCACTGCACTTATCTCTGCAATGCATGATCTTCCTTACCCTGTGTAAAATGTGAAGCGTTAACGTCATCAGCATCACATAACAACCACTGTCGGCATCTCTCTATAAGTTCTTTATACAGCGGTATGCTTTGAAGCAGCCTATTATTAGTTTGTGATTCTCCACAATCGTGCACTTTGATTGACAGTCAAGAAATGTTGTGTACAACCATGTTTGTTTTTGTGATAAAAATGCAGATGCCATGTATGAGGTAATGGCTGGAATATTCCCTAGATTTTACAAATTAATCTGCCAAATCAGTGAATAATATATTTACACTTAAATGCTAATAATTAGTTTTTCTTCTGGTAGGACTGTGATTTTTTTTATTGCATGTTGTCACACTGCCTGCGGTGGTCCACTACTTCATAACTATTTCATGAGGACTTTCTGGGCAAGATTTGTAGGTATTTTCTGCTTTTCTCTGAGAATGATTGTACGGTGAATGAAGAATTATTAACTTAGTTTGTTAGTTGAAGTTAGTTTAGTTTGTTAATTGAATTACGGCGTCTGACTGTATGCAATCATTTCACTCGGTTCCCGACATTTGTAGTTTCGGATCTATTTACTTTTCCTTCCTATGTCTTTCACTTTGATCCTCCTCTAACTTGATATAACGCTGCCGTTGTGCTCCGGAATTTTTGTTACAAATCATCTCCAAATGACCGTATTTCTTCCACATTGACATAAACGTATCGTCACGTAAGATGCATTCTTTCTAACGTGATCCTCAAGGGCCCTCCGTCTTTTTTCCTAATATCGTTTATCTTCATTTGACTTGATGAAGACTTGGAAAATGTACTCGTTTCCAGTAAAAACAAATCAAGATCAAAATGACGTGTTTCAAAACTTTGACAGCAGTGCTTCGAAAAAATTCCACACTTGATATTTTTGTTCAAATAGGTTTCGTTTTTGGTTCTCAGCACAACTCTGGGACGTTTCCGATTATTCTATAGAAAGAAGTGACTTCTGTCTCCGAAGAAAAGTTGGCTAGTCGCGAAAGAAAATCAGGGGATCATACGTAAACGGGAATAGACCTTGGAAGCAGGTGGACATGAAGCTTTCCTGTCATGGTTTTTTTTTCATGCAGTCGGCCCTTGAGTCCAACGAAAACCATTCAAAAGTTATTTGATAGTTGTTGTCGTGCACTTCGGTCGCTGCCATTTTTTGGAGCGTGATCATTCGTTTTTTAGCACTATTGAAAATATTGCTGTATTCGTGCCTTGTATCTGAAATCTCAATCAATACTTGGCTAGCATCTTTTGACGGAAATATGACTTCTTCTTATGGAGGAACGATACTTAGGCCCGTATGCACGTACATCCCCGCGGGGAGGGGAGGGGATCTGAGCGGGGAAGCGTCATATCTCGCTAGTTTATATATCTTTCTTCGTCTTTCTCTGTCTTGCTTTTGAAGGTTCTCATACACTGATACTTGCGCATAACGGATGTCAGGTTACTGCCATACAAGATTAGATATTCACTATTTCGTCTGATCCCCTGGGGATCCCCAGGGGATCACCGCGTATTTTCAAAGTCATTTATCTTCCTGAAAATCCACTGAAAATGCTGTAAAAATGTACTGACGATATACTACAGCAGTGCTTAACGTGTTTATGGTAGAAATGAGTGAAATCTCAAGATATCAAAATTTTCGATGAACCGCTGCTCGCGAGCCAGGGATTATCGAAAAAATCAAAATCTTCATAGTCCATCTCTTCTGTCGAAAACATGCTCAGCAGTATCGTAGTATATCTTTAGTACAATTTTGCAAGGGTTTCATTGAGTTTTCAGGGAGATAAATGACTTTGAAAATGTGAGGTGATCCCCTGGG